CTTTTATTTTACCTTGCATAATGTCCTTCCCCAGAGGCTTGTCCCTCCTATAGTATTCCCAAAGCATGTGAAATGAAGTCTGTGTTCTGCCCACGAAATGCCCCTCAAAGAAATCTAAAAACACGTCTGAAATGTCAAGAGTGTTTATTATATTATTTCCACTCGTGGAGACTTTTCTCCTTCCTCAGGAAGGTGGTAAAGGAAAAAAGCCCCGAGTTTCCCCTCCCACTTGCTTTCCCCCCCCCATGTTATATTTGTATTTTATGTTTTTTATTTTTTTTTAATTTAGGTTGTTTATTTTTCATTTCAGTGAACATCTACAGAGATTCCCACTTGCTTTTATAGCTCTTTTGAGTGCCCCTGTTAGGGCAGGGGGATTGTGATCATCGTTGATGGGTTGACTTTTGACGGGCTGGCTACTTTGCCCACCTTTACTTCTTTTGTGTCACGTAGACACTAGTTAATTCTTTACTTTTCAAGGACAGACCAGGCTTTACCCCGGGAACTTGTGTTTGCCCTAAGCTAAGAATTTTTATGGCCTGCTTCTGCCTCTAGCATTAATGGGGGTTTATAAAAATGGGGTTTCTGCTGTCCCAAGTCTGACCCTTACTGTTAGGGAGCGTTCTAGTTGTACTAACTTCAAGACAAGTTGGTTTGTTCCTTTCGATATTCATAGTATATTCAGTATTATCTGCCAGCACCACAATTCAAAGGTATCAATTCTTATTTGGTCTTCCTTCTTAATTGTCAATTATCCAACTTTCACAAGCATATAAGGTGATTGACAATACCATGGCTTTTATCAGACACAACTTCCCTTGAAGTGACATCCTTGTACTTTAATACTCTAAAGAGGTCCTTTGCAGCTAATTTCCTCATTCAATATGTTAGTTTTATGTTGTAACTGCTGCTTTCATTGTTGCTAATTATAGATGCAAAGAAAATGAATAGAAGACATAGAGGGCTGAAAGTCAACACTGTGTGTTAGTTTAGTTCTGTGATACTCTATGTGAATCTAGGTGTGTTTTGTATATATTACACTCACATCCAACTCTCTTTACCTTGAATTAATATGGAACAGAGGAAGCCTAATATGTGAGACAGCAAATGTGAAGCCTGTGAAACAGACTTGCAGTCTGACCCTCCTCTTGACTTGGACAAGAGGCAGCTTGAAGCACTGTCCTCTTTAAATTACTCAAAAGCCATTGCCATCAATTTTGGCTGGATTCATAGCTATACCTCTAGTAGGATTTTCAGAAAGCTACAAATCACACAAGATTGCATAGGAGGCAATTGCTCGTTTTTCTCCCTTGGAGCTGCTGGGGAATTCTAACCACCAGAAAGAGGCTACCTTTGGGTTAGCAGCCCAGCTGCCCATGGACTGTGCCTCCAGGGGTCCCTCCTTCACACTAAGTAACAGAATTTTATTTAGTGGTTTGAAGGCTCATGAAATTCTCTGGTTCTTCATTGACTTTTGTATTATTTCCACATTTTAAAACATGGGTAAGTCAATTTTGGAATACAATCAGGGCACTCTGAATTTGGATATAATTTTCTAGTCCTATCCAGCATCTGTAAGATCTCCAGACCCTTGGTAGATCACTGGGGAAAAGTCTTAGATCACTCTTTTGGAACTCAGCTGTTTGGTAGCAATGAAAGCAGGTGGTGAGAGGGGGGGAAAGGGTCAAATATGAAGAAGAACATTTATTGGCAGATTTATTATGAAAATGAAGATTTTCACTACTTGCTCAATTGGCAGCATCATGATAGATGGAGAAGAGATTAACAATTTCAGCTTGCTAGGTTCCACAACCAACACTATTGGCACCAGCAGTTAAAAAAAAAAAGACAAATTGCATCATGAAAATCTGCTGTCAAGGACCTCTCCAGACTGCTGAAGAGCAATGATGTCAGTCTAGAGAGTAAGGTATGCCTGATCCAAGCCATGGTCTTTCAGTTACTCACTATGCATCAAAGAACTGGACAATGACCAAAGAGGACAGAGGAAGAATTGACCCCTTTGAGTTATGGTGATGGAGAAGAGTATTGAACATAATATAGACTGCCAACAGAACTAACAGGAAAGGGTGAAACCAAGCTGTGCCTTAGAGGAGAGGATTTTGAGGCTCCATCTCACATACTTAGGGCATGTTGCCAGAAAGAGCCAGTCCTTTGAGAAGAATCTCATGCTTGAAAGGATGGAGAGACAGGGCAAGACTAGGGTAATATGGTTAAGTGTGTCAGAAACAGTGAGATTGGCTCAGGATAGAGCAAGGTTCAGAGTTGTTACACATAGGGCCACTGTGAGTTGTAGTTGACACAACGGTACATCACAATGGCATTAAAATGAAGTAAGGTACAGTGTTATGAGAGTATCAATCCACAGGGACCATGGTGTATGGTTTCAGCTTCCCTGAATGTCCAAGAGGTCAGGAATATATACCAATTTCAAAAAGCCTCTTGATTTTTATTGAGAACTTCCTTATGTTTTTGTTATTTTTAATTATGAAGTGTCATCTTAGTCTCCCTCCTTGTCAAAATAATGAGTTGATGCTTTGAGTACTCTGCAGAGTGTATATGTTCCAAGTGGTCAGAATAGAGCAAGGAAACACTGCATGGTTCAAAATTGGGAAGGGTGTGAATCAAGGATGTGTCCTATCTCCGTATCTCTTCAATCTGTATGCAGAATGAAGTATCCAGGAGGCTAGGCTCTATAAGGAGAAGTGTGGCATCAGACTTGGAGGTAGACTTATCAACAATCTGCTTTATGCAGATGACACAACCCTGTTGGCTGAAACTGAGGAGGACCTGAAGCGCTTGCTGTGGAATGTCAAGAATTGTAGCATTCAATATGGAGTGAAGCTCAATGTCAAGAAAACAAAGATTCTCACCACTGAACTGATTGGCAGCATCATGACAGATGATGAAGAGCTTGAGATTGTTGACAGCTTTAGTTTGCTTGGCTCTACAACCAACACTCTTTGTACCAGCAGGCAGGAAATTAAAAGATTAATTACATGGGAAAGTTTGCTGTCAGAGATCTCTCCAAGGTACTGAAGAGCAACAACGTCAGTCTGGAGACTAAGGTGCGCCTGATCCAGGCCATGGTCTTTGCCATTACTTGCTATGCTTCAGAGAGCTGGAAAATGAGTAGGGATGATGGAAGGAGAGTTGATGCCTTTGAAGTTTGGTGCTGGAGAAGAATATTGAATATACCACGGATTGCTAGGAGAACAAACAAGTTCATCCCGGAGAGGGTGAAGCCAGGCTGCTCCATGGAGGCAAGGATTCTGAAGCTTTGTCTGACATACTTTGGACATGTTTCAAGGAGGAACCAGTCCTTGGAGAGGGTGGTCATGCTTGGGAGGGTGGAGGGGCAGCGCAGGAGAGGAAGACCCTCGATGAGATGTGTTAATTCCATCACTGGGGTAATGGGGATAGGTGTGTCAGAGACAGTGAGATTGGCAAGGGATAGAGCACGGTTTAGGGCTGTTGTACATAGGGTTGCTATGAGTCGCAAGAAACTTGATGGCACATAACAACAACAACAATGTTATATATGTATTCTTTCATGTAATCCTAGTAATAATTATGTGTGTTTGTATATTATATGTTGAAAGAGAAAAAAGGATAGAGGAAATAGGGATCATTACAAACTAATTGTGAGCTGTAAAGGCAAACAACAGACAGCCCATAGCAATATGGATGAAGAAAAACACTAATTCAGCACTGAAAGAGGTTGTCTACCAGATTGTGAAGGATTGTATTCTATTTACTACTTTGTCCTTGTTGTTGTTATTGTTAGGTGCTATTGAGTTGAGTACAACTTATAGTGACCTTGTGAACAATGGATCTAAACCCTGTTCTCTTCTGTGCCATCCTTGTAATCTCTGATACACTTGCCCATTTTTGCACATATATTCCACATATATTTCTTGAGTACCTATTTTGTAGTCACGAATGTCTAACTCCTGTAGTCAGCTAATGTCTAACCTCTCCCAGGTAGATTAAACTATGTCAACTTCAAAATCTCTGGCATCCGAGAGCACACTGCTGCAGTCACGGTGACAATCCACTGATTGAGCATCTTCCTCTCCTTTACTGTCCCTCCACCATTCTAAGCATGATATCCGTCTGCAAGGAATAGCCTCTCATAGCAACATGTGCAAAGCATGTGAGACAAAGCTTCATCTGAAAGAATTTTTTAACGTTTGTAAAAAAAAATGAGCACATCCTTACTTTCCATGGAAAAATCTGCTATCTTTCTGCAACCAGTCTAAATGAAGCATCAATATGCAAATGAAATTCACAAACATATATTTGTACACCAGTGTTCATAGTAGCGTTATTCACCAGCACAAGAACATGGAACTAGCCCAAATGTCCAACCACAATCGAATGGATCGGCAAATTGTGGTACATTCATACAATGGAATACTTTGCAGCACTTGGGAGCAATGATTTAGAAAATCAGTACATAACCTGGGATGATTATGTTGAGCAAACTAATTCTTATGAACAAATAAGTCTCATAAGGACAAATACTGCATAAGACCATTATTGTAGAAAAGAACTAGTAAAACGTGTATGAGGATCTAAGTTGAAGCAGATGGGAGCAGAGGAGTAAGGATGAAGGTGGGGGCGAGATTCATAGGGTTGCATAGTTTGTTGGGTGGAGGGAGGGTGGGTAAAGGAAATGGGACAGATCCAGCAGGGCTCTGGAAAGACAGAGTTAAGGGTGATTACTTTTATAAAACATAATGGATGAAAATGATAGTTTAAAACACAATGTAAAAGATAGTGTGAAACAAAATGTATACAAACACTAAATAAACCAATTTTTAAAAATATGAGAGTGAAATTCAAAGAGATTTTTCTGAAAACTTACACAATCACTTGAAGGAAGTATATGACCACACAGTAATGGATATGCTCAGCATTTCGAGTAAGCTTTTTTACTTTCCCCCATTTGATTTCTCTCCCAGAAACAGAAGAGCAGCATGAGGTGGGAGAACCAGAGCAGTGTGTCTGAATTCCTCCTCCTGGGGCTCCCCATCCGGCCAGAGCAGCAGGGGGTGTTCTTTGCCCTGTTCCTGGGCATGTACCTCACCACGGTGCTGGGGAACCTGCTCATCATCCTGCTCATCAGGCTGGACTCTCGCCTCCACACCCCCATGTACTTCTTCCTCAGCCACTTGGCCCTCACGGATGTCTCCTTTTCGTCTGTCACTGTCCCAAAGATGCTGATGAACATGAAAACTCGCCATCAATCAATAACCTATGCTGGATGTATTTCACAGGTATATTTCTTCATATTCTTTGCTTGTACTGATAACTTCCTTCTGGCAGTGATGGCATATGACAGGTATGTGGCTATCTGTCACCCTCTGCACTACACCATCAAAATGAAGCCTGAGCTTTGCATCTTCTTAGTGACTGGATGCTGGTTCTTCTCTTGTGTCCATGGTTTGCTGCATACCATCCTTGTGAACCAGTTGTCCTTCTGTGCAGAGACTACCATCCCTCACTTTTTTTGTGACCTTGCTGCTGTGCTCAAGTCGGCTTGCTCAGACACCTCTCTCAATGAGTTAGTTATTTTTACTGAGGGTGGTTTGCTCTTCATCATGCCATTGTCTGCTATCTTGGGTTCATATATCTGCATGCTGGCTACCATTCTCAAAGTCCTCTCCATCAAGAGAATCTCCAAAGCCTTGTCCACCTGTGGCTCCCACCTCTTTGTGGTCTCTTTATATTATGGGACAATTGCAAGCATTTACTTTTTCTCCTCATCAGGCAAATATACAGGCAAAGACATTGTTGCTTCTATCATGTACTTGATAGTCACTCCCATGCTGAACCCCTTCATATACAGTCTGAGGAATAAAGACATAAAATGTGCTTTTGATGACTTCGTCAGGGCCAAAGTCTTCTCTTGATGAATTTACTTTAATTCTGTCATAGTTAATCATGTTGTTGTTATTGTTAAGTGCCGTTGAGTTGTCTGTGACTCATAGCGACCCTATGTACAACAGCCCTAAACTCTGTCCTATCCTGTGCCAATCTCAACATCTCCAACACACATGTCCCATTATTACCCCAGTCACTGAATCAACCCTCTCCTGTGCTGTCCCTCCACCCTCCCAAGCATGACATTGCTCTCCAAGGACTGTCACTCCTTGCAACATGTCCAAAGTATGTCAAACGAAGCTTCAGAATCCTTGCCTCCAAGGAGCAGTTCGGCTTCATCTTCTCCAGGACAAACCTGTTCATTTTCCTAGCAGTCCATGGTTTATTCAATACTCTTATCCAGCACTACAGTTCTCCTTCTATCATCCCTAGTCATTGTCCAGCTCTCCAATGCATAGCAAGTGATTGCAAAGACCATGGCCTGTATCAGGCAGATGAGTAACATAAAAAATGTCTTCTTTTTCTTCCTTTTTATAATGCTTTATTGAAATAATTTGGTAGCATAATTTTCAGTCTCTTAGAGTATACTTTTCTGTAGGTTATAATGTATTAACAGACTTGTACAGCCAATATCATCCTCTGATAAGGAACATAGTCCTTACTCTCAAGGGAAATCTTGCACATATTAACAGTCACTGTTTATTCCAGAAAAATTACTTCAATGGTATATACAATATGTGATCTTTTTTGTAGCATCCACTACCTAAAACAACTTGCCTCTGGAAACTGTATGAACTTTGATAAAATGTCGATACGTGTAGAGGGGCTTCAGGCCTTTTGTTTGCTATGAGTCGTGCTCAACTTGAGGGCAATCAACAACAACAAGAACAAGCTACCATTTTTAAACTATGAATTTAGAGAACGTTTACAGAAAGATTGGGTTTTCATTTATTCATTCATTCATTGTTGCACATCTTCCCCTTCACGTCCCCCCTTGCAGTCCACTTTGCAATGTACCTCTTGTTCCATATTATTGCCATAGATACAGTGCCTAATCACGTAATCCTTTCAGGCATTTCTTCTCATTTGTTCCAAAGCAGTGTTCATTACCTATCCACTCTTTTCCTATTCTCCCCACAACCAGCTTCCTCCCTCCCATGTCAGTCCTATTTCACAACAGTGGTGTTATGAAGTATTTGTTACATTGTAACTGAGATATTTTACTTAGAATAATGTCCTCCAGGCTTACTAATGTTGTATAATGTTTTACAAGTTCATTACTTCCCAATACTATGTAATACTTCATTGTGTGACTGTACAATCATTTTTCTATATATATGTTTGTTGATGGGCACTTGGGTTGCTTCCACCTCTTTGCTATTGTGAATAATGCAGCAATAAACATGGGTATGCATACATCTGTTTGAGTCAAGGCTCTGGTTTCTTTAGAATATATTCTCAGTAGTGGAATTGCTGGGTCAAATAGTATTCCTACTTTGCTTTGCATTGTTCACTATGTCTAATGGTTTTCTTGCTGAATCATCAGGGTTTTCTAAGTATACTGTCATATCATCTGTACATACAGATAATTTTACCTCCTCTTTTCCTTTGGATATCTCTTATTTCCTTTTCTTGCTGTATTTTTCTTGCTAAAATTTCCAATATAATATTGAATAGGATAGATGATAGTGGTCATCCTTTCCTATTTCCTGTTCTCAAGGGGAGTACTTTTAATCTCTCTTTTGAGAACAATGTTGGTCCTTGGTTTTGCATGTATACTTTTCACTATATTGAGGAAATTCCCCTCTATTCTTATTTTGTTTAGTGTTTTAATAAGGAAAAGGTGTTGGGTTTTGTCAAAGACCTTTTCTGTATCAGTTGGCAGGGTCATGTTGTTCTGTTTTTTTCTTTGTTAATGTGATGAATTACATTAATTGCTTTTCTTATGTTGAATCATCCTTACATACCTGTTATGAATTTTACCTGGTCATGTTGTCGTTGTTATATGCTATTGAGTTGCCTGCAACTCATAGTGACCTTATGTATAGTAGCTTTCAACCTTGCTCTATTCTGAGCCAGTCTCACTGTCTCTGACAAACTTACATCCATTACCCCAGTTATTATGTCAATCCACTTCATCCAGAGTCTTCCTCTCCTGCATTGTCCTTCCACCCTTCCAAGCATAATGACCCTCTTCAGAGACTGTTCCCTCCTGGCCACATGCCCAAAATATGTGAGACAGAACTTCAAATCCTTGCCTCCAAGGAGCAGACTGGTTTCATCCTCTCCAGGATAAACCTGTTTGTCTCTTGGCAGTCCATGGTACGTTCAACACTTTTCTCTAGCACCACAAATCAAAGATATCAATTTTTCTTCTATTAAGTCTAGTCATTATCCAGCTCTCTGATGTATAGGAAAGAATTGTGAAGTCCATGCCTGAAAGGCGCACCTTAATATCTAGATTGACATTGTTGCTCATTATCATTTGGATAAAGTCCCTGACAGCAACTTTCCCCAGAGCAATTTGACTCTTAAGTTCTTCCGACTTGTGCCAAGAGTGTTGATGGTGGAGCCAAGCAATCTGAAATTGTTAACAACCTCAATCTTTTCTCTATATATTATGGTATCAATTGGCCCACTGGTGACAAACTTTGTCTTATTGATGTTGAGCTTCAATCCATATTGAAGAATACAATCCTGGACCTTTTTTAAATTGAGTTAATTTATTAACTTCTGATTGAATATCCTAAAACAATTTTAAAGTGTAATTGAAATATAATAAAACCTAGAAATTTCAGATGTGCTATTCAACAATTTCCAGAACTACCAGAAATTCTAGCTGGATTCAGAGTGGACAAAGAAATATTGCAGATGTCAGATGAATCTTCACTGAAAGCAGAAAATACCAGGAACATGTTTATTTGAGTTATATTTTCTATGCAAGAGTATTTAACTATGTGTATCATAATAAATTATGGATAGCATTGAGAAGATTAGGAATCCCAGAACTCTTAATTGTGCTCATGGAAACCTGTACATAGACTAAGAAGCAGTTGTCAGAACAGAGAACATTACATGGTTTAAAATCAGGAAAGGAATGCTTTAGGATTGTATCTTTCATCCATAATCTTAAAATCTGCATTTTGAGCAAATTTGAGAAGCTAGACTAAGGAGAAGAATATGGCTTGGAGAAAGACTTTTCAATAACCTGTGTTGTACAGATGACACTACCTTGCTTGCAGAAAGAGGAGAAATTGAAAGCAATTACTGCAGAAAATCAAAGACCTCAGCCCTGAGTATAGATTATAGCTCAATATCAAGAGAACAAAAGCTTCACCACTGGGTTAATAATGTTATTGTTGCTGTGTGACAAACAGACTCATAGCTGACGCTCTATTAGGATTTCAGACACAGTAATCACACTGATGGAGAGCACCCATCTTCCCATGGTGCAGCTGGTGGATTTGAACCAGTTGCCTTTAGGATTGCAGTGCTGCTTTTTACTACTAGGTCACTGTTGTTGTTGAGTACTATTGAGTCGGAACCAACCCATATCTGACCCTCCAGCAGGTTTTTAGAGGCAGTTAATTGCACAGTAGGAGACTGACTTGCTAATATAATGATAGAATGAAAAAATATGGTAGTTGTCAATGAACATCTTACTTGGATCCTCAATCAACACCCATGATAGCTGCAATTAAAAAATCAGAAGATGTCTTTCTTTCAGCAAATTTGCTGTCAATTTCCTTTTTAAAGCGTTAAAGTCCCAGGATGTTTAAAGATGAAAGTGCATCTGATCCAAGCCATGGTATTTTCCATTGCTTTAGATGCAGGAAAGTTGGATGACGAATGAGGATGACAGAACTAGCTTTTGAATCATGGTGTTGTTGAAAGTATTGAATATCCCAAGAACTACTAAAAGAAGAAAGAAATATGCCTTGAAGGAAGTGGAACCAGGGTGCTTCTTAGAGAAAAGGATTATACAACTTCATCTCACATACTTGAGGAGTATTATGAAGAAGGGCCAACTCATAGGAAAAGACATCATGCTGGGAAAAAGAGAGGATCCTTGAAAGAGAGGAATACTCTCAACACAATGGATAAATACAATAATCACTACAATGAGCTTGTGTACTAGGTTGTGTAGCCCTGGTGTACAAGTTGCCGTATCGTGGTCACTTGTGGTTGCTGTAAGGCTGAACACTATGACACTGATGTGTCAAGTGCGTTAATGGTTGGTTACCCAATGTGGACAGAGAGTGGGGTGGAGCTCCCGGATTAAAACAAGCTTGGAAGGAGGAGTGGCATCCACTTCCATAATAGTTTGCCTCCAGAAACCCTATGAACCTGGAGAGAGGATGAAAGGCACCCAAGCGTAGAGGACTCCTCCACAGGGTCTCTATGAGTTGCCTGCGACTCGACGGCACTTAACAACAACAACAACGGAGATCATGAAGTTGATGCAGGATTGAGCAAGGTTTTAATATGGTGTCCATTGGGTTGTTAAGAATCATAGCTGACTTAATGTGAGGAGAGGTATGTCATATTTGGGGATGTCCACTTAACAGATGAGGGAGAGAATAATTTAAAAGCAATATATGATAGGGTATCATGGGTATGATAAGAGTCCAGAATTAAGGTTGCATAGTGGAGTGTACTTGGGGTGCGCGAGGGTTGTATACCAAAGAAGCAATTTTTCTTTTGCTTTACAAAGAGAGGAGCCGAACTGGGGTTGGCGGGAGGGCTGGGCAGGGAGAAAAGTGCAACAATGAATGAATGGAAATCCAAAATCTCTATAAATGTTCATTACAATTAATAAAATAAAAAAAATAAAATTAAAATACTTATTGAGAAGAAAATAAAAAAGAGTATGTTTAAATTCTCTTTTGCTGCAGACTAAATAATCACAAAATCTTATAAGTATGCAAAGATTCCTCAATTATATAGGTCATTCCTTGGTGAGTTGACTGATAATGGGGCTAAATTTGTTCCACTTCATGTCTCTTTTACTACTCCTAATGTTGCTGTT